TTCCGAGGGTAACAGGTAGAAATGTCCCCATCCCGATCCCGGCCTATCAGAGCACGTGTTAAACGTTAAAGTTATTTATTCTACTTACTTAGTTGTCAAACTCATGTTGAACAGGGATTTACTCTGATAACAACTAACTGAATTAGGGGGAGTTTGAATAATACACACTGGTTGGTAAAGAGACACTGACCTGTTTATTCAGGGATAAACACAAATTATACCAAATTATAAATAACAAACAGAAATGGAATCAGGGAACAGTAACGAGTGCAAATAATATTGTAAACTGTATTAAAAAAGCAAAACACACAAACAACCTGAATAGAAAATAGTCTATTAACTCTGTTTTACATCCATCTCTTTGTCTTTTTCCCCCTTAAGGATAAAATAATCCCACACAACTGACATGTTTACCGATATCTTCAAATTAACATGGCCGTCTTAATGGTTTAGTTTAGTTTAGTTTTATTAGGATCCCCATAAGCTGCCAAATAAATGGCCACTAGTCTTCCTGGGGTCCTCACATGAAGAAATTATATTACATTATAAACAAATCATAAAAAAATAGAAATAAAAATCACAGTAGGAGATAATAAAAACATAAACAAGAGTAGAACTATACAATATATATACAAAGGTCAGTTCATCTTATCTATGGTCAGGACACAGAGCTGTGGGTCAGGGGATGCTAAAGCTATGTGTTTAAGGGTGTGCTGGAAAATGACCGGACCAAATATTAGGGAACAACATAGCAAAGTGGAATGGATTATTTTAATCACACTTTGTAAAGAAAAACTGAATCTGGATTCTGGATCTGCATTTTCTCCTGCCAGCCGATACTCATTTTTTTGCAAATATCTGCAATCGATCTGATCCGATCCAAATATTGGATTGGGATCAGCCTAGTAAAAGGGTTTTTTTTATGTATCCAGGCAACAGCCGCTGTGTGGAGTCCCTCCTGGCCCACGGAGCCGACCCAGACCACCACCCGCCCCACCTGGGCTCCCCCCTCTACGTCAGCTGCCTGCACCGCCACACGGACTGCTCCCGGGCGCTGCTGCTCAGAGGTACTGCCCCCCCCCCTGTCCCAAACCTGGAGCCGGGTTCGTAGTAGACCCGTGCTTCATGAAGCATTTGTTGTATATTCGGCTGATCCAAAGACGAAAAGGAGTCGGATGGATAGTTCAACTGAACTTTAGTGAATAATAATAAAGGCATGAACGAATGATACATTACAATACACAACAGAGTGTATTGTAACATAGCTCTTTTTCTCGGGAAACTCGGGAAACTCCTCAATTCTCACTTCTTCGTCCTCCCGTTCCTCTTGCACCTGTGCAAAGCATCATGGGACATTGAGTCCATTCTGTTAACCGACCACAAATAGTCCGTTTTGAACCAGATACCAACTATAAAATGCTAACTGGATTTATGAACTAACTGCAACAAAAATAGTTACCCGATATTAAATGATAATATCCCAAATAATGAGTCCAAACAAATCCTGGTTAAACCCAAAACAAATTCTCAACAGCATTGTAGTGTAAAAAAGGGTAAATAATGTGCATTTCAGTGTAAGAAACTAAATAATGCACATTATGGGGTAAAAACTGTAAATATTTCACATATTAGTGTAAAAAAAAAAAGTAAATAATGCACATTTTAGTGTAAGAAAATGTAAATGATGCACATTATAGGGCAAAAACGGTAAATATAGCACATTATAGAGTGAGAAATTGTAAATAATTCACATTATATGGTTAAAAAAATGTAAATATTGCAAATTTTAGTGCAAAAAAGTGTAAATAATGCACATTATAGGGTAGAAAATATTGCACGTTTCTCTGCACTGATGTACCTTAAAAATAAATCCAGAGGGTGTTTGAATATGGAGGATAATCTCCGAGTAGAATTTCCAACATTAAATTGCTTTGCTCCATCATTGTAGTATAAAATAATGCACATTTTAGTGTAAGAAACTAAATAATGCACGTTATAGGGTAAAAACTGTAAATATTGCACATTATAGGGTAAGAAAACTGCAAATATTTCACATGTTAGTGTAAAAAACTGTAAAAATATTTCACATTATGGGGTAAGAAAACGGTAAAGGTTTCACATGTTAGTGTAAAAAACTAAATATTTCACATTATGGGGTAAGAAAACTGTACATATTTCACATATTAGTGTAAAAACCTAAATAATGCACATTATGGGGTAAGAAAACTGTAAATATTTCACATATTAGTGTACAAAACTGTAAATATTTCACATATTAGTGTAAAAAACTGTAAATATTTCACATATTAGTGTAAGAAACTGTAAATATTTCACATATTAGTGTAAAAAACTAAATAATGCACATTATGGGGTAAGAAAACTGTAGATATTTCACATATTAGTGTAAAAAACTGTAAATAATGTACCTTATAGGGTAAAAACTGGGGGTCGTGGGCTGAGGGTTTTGGGACCCCTGCCTTGTGGACGCCCTCTGACCCGTGCTGCGGTCTGACCCGTGTGACCAGGGGCCAGCGTGAACGTGGGCCGGGGGGGGGACAGCCCGCTGCACGCCGCCGCCAGGCTGGACAGTGCTGACCAGGTGGCCGTGCTGCTGGACTTCGGCGCCGACGTGAACGCCAGAGACGGGGACGGCCAGCGGCCGGCCGAGCTCACGCCGGCGGGGGGGCGGACCGGCCAGCTGCTGCTGGCCTTCGAAGGTAGAAAATCGGATTTTCAGGCAGAATCAGGATCAGAATCAGCTTTATTCTCCAAGTATGTGTGATCAGACCAGGAATTTGACTCTGGATGTTTCTCTCATAAGTGGAGTTACATACAAAAATACAAAAATCTGGTATTATAGGTATCCATCTAACGGTGAAATAGTATTTTCCATCTTAACAAATCTGCTCTCTAGCGCCTGTTTCCAACTTCACATCTTGTAGTATTTTAAGAATTTTAGTTAAAATCACTGTCTTTTTTTCTAAACGTGTCCTCATTTGGTGTAAAATGACTTCTGCAATGATCTGACTTATGCTCATAAACGAAGAATTTCCTATCCGTATATACTGTCTAGTTAATCCACAACGCGTTTTCCTTCTGAGCCAGAGTCACATGACTTAAACTTCTGTTAAATTTGTTAATGTTTTAATTAATTAATTTTTTTTTTTTAACCCTTTAAAGCCTGATACAAGAATAAAACAAAACAGACATTTTTTTTTTTGGTTTCTTTATTTGGCCTTTTAACAAAATATGTAAAAACAAAAATACATTTTTAATATTAATAATTTATTACTATGCGACAAGTCAAGATTATTTTTTGTGTAGTCTTCTGCCCCCTGTTATCAGGTATATCTGATTGTGTACAATAGGATTTTGAGCAAAGTTTTTACCATTAAATTATGCAAAAGGTGTCAGACGCAAAACATTTTTAGAAACCGTATGGATCAAATATGATACATTTGGCATTATAGGGTTAA